TATGTAGCCTGACATCCAACATAATGCTACTAATAATGTCATTGGTACAACAAAGCAAACATTCATTTCTCAGATTAAGGCCACAGAGCTTAAACGGAGTTGAAGATGTGAATACTCTGGTCATGCCATACCCTGTCAACCTCTTTAAGTGCAAGTGCCAAGCCTATAGAGTTAATTACATATATACAGCCATAAAATTAATCACAGTTATTAAGTCTATTCCTACCATGTGTTTGCAAAATTCAATGTACTGAATCCAGAGCTTGATGTCTCCCTAAAGGTTTGAAGCATGATTAAAGACTTGATAAATCACAATACTTGCCTATTTACAGAAGTGGGAAAAAATGAAAATCTGGGTTCACCATGAAACTTTACATGTATGTATACATGTAGACTTTCCAAGTTCTGTCAACTGAGCTACAGAGCATTTATCACCAAGTACAACAGTGGGCATGAAAGGTTCCTGAGAAATGTATCAAGTGAACGCCTTAATCATTAACATACATGAAGTTGGTATTGTTGCAATCAGTTTTCTGATATTTGTTAAAATTTAAGTGTTGAACAATTTTTGTGACCTATTTGTGAAATGTCTTGTTGCCAATATTTTACTTGTATCCATAATGTACCTTAATAGACAAGTCACACAAATTTACCCCACTATAACATAGTAAAATGATGTCCATAATGTGCGCTTAATAAAAGATATTCTATATACAAGGCTAAAAGATTAGGAAAAAAATTAATAAAATGTTTAAACCAAATGTTTTCAGCTGTTTGCCATCATCAGGGTTCTGATGATGGCAAACAGCCAAAAACGTTTGGTTTAAACACTTTAATAATTTTTTTCCTAATCTTTTAGCCTTGTATATAGAATATAACATATTTACTTACCACAAACTTCTTTAGGGCATTCTGAAAAGAAAAACAAACTATGTTTGTTTTATTTTTGTATGTGTGAACTGGATCATGATATCTACATGAAATTGTTTGATAACAGAGAAAATTGGTGAGAGTTATGGGGAGGCTTGAGACATGGGCTACTGACTTCATCTTCTATCTGCAGTACATGTATTTTACAAGTTGTAGTCCTTGTCTTAAGAAGGCTTAGGAAATCCTTATTCAAACGCGATTCTGAACTAATTCAAGACTGGAATGTACACATAACTCAAAATTGCCTTCTTAAAATAACTCAGAAAAATCTTTTTTAAAAACTTGGATAAATTATTTCTAAGAAAGATCACAGTACACATTTTAACTGATTGAAATTGTGATTAGGATATCAACATCATCTACATGTACCTGAAACAGAGTGTGTATTTTCTTCATTGCTGCATGCTCTGCTTGTAAATTCCTTCTTATGCCAAGTCTCTGCAAAATGAAAACAAACAAAGTGAACCAGCACATGAATTTCTCTAAAATTAAATTGCAAGAAATAATTGTAATTAAAAAAACAATGCACTGGAGACAAAATTCTTACCGACTTCCTCTTTTTCTTCAACATATCAAGGTTAATTTCATACTATAAATAAAAGAAAACAAATTTATCAAATGTTCAAACTCAGAATCAAGGAAGCCTTGATCATTGAAATAAGGAACTCACAGGAACATCACAGCCTTGTTATATAATATTTATGTACTACAATATATGGTCATGATTCTGTAATGTACCTGCATGTATCTTAAGAAGTCTGACTTCTGAACGATTCTCTTTTGCAAACGGTACTCATACTCTCTTCTCTTACGAACAATGGTCCTATATCGTTGTAAATAACATTAAATCATTAACATGACGTTAAAAGACCAAAATCATCTATAACAAGAGAGGAATTTGGCTTTACTCTGATCATAAATATGAGGTTGAAAAATTGCAAAATTGAGTCCTGATGCCTGACTTAACACAAATAATTAGGAAAGTCATCCTTCCCTAGCAAAAAGATAGAACTATGCATCCAAAATCAACGAATCAAGGCAAAGTAACACGAGTAGGTGAATGCTAAGAAGAACTCATATAACAATAGTTACTATTTTTGTTCAATGCAATGCAAGTAAGTGGCTGGGTATGAGTTAATTAATTTTTTTAATTTATTACAATTCAATGGCAAAAGGATGTACATAAATAATGAGAGCTATAGGGATGGCCTACAAAAGAGTAGAGGGACCCCATAGAAGGCAGGCCACCTTCCATAACCTTCCCAATAACAGTTTAGGTTAAGATAAAAATTTAAATGATAAATATTATTACATTGTAAATATAGATCATGCATTAATTGAGAGACCAGAGACTGACCTGTGAGTCAGGACGAAAATAGAGATATAAACATAAAAACTATATCTAAAACAAGATGAAAGGAAACAATCAAACAATCACGTGATTCTAGAAAAGAGGAAGTCTCTTACTCCCCTTTTGAAACTAGAAATACTTGAAGCTTGCCAAACAGAGAGTGATAGCACATTCCATGAGTCAACAATCCTATTAAAAAAACTAAACTTCAAAGTGTCTGTCCTGGCAAAGTTCTTCTTCAATGTAAGTTCGTCCCTTCCCCTTAAAGAGTACCTCTCAGAGTCTGAATAAAATTGAATATATGAGGAAACATCTAAGTTAATGTGCCCATTTAGAGCTTTATAAAAAAAAGAAAACATCCAACAGAAACATCTATCCTTCAAGGATAACAAATTCAGTTTTTCTCTTCTAGCATCATACTCAGCATCTGCCTTTAAATTAAATATAAACTTTGTAGCTCTTCGTTGAATTCTTTCCAACTTGTTGACATTTCTAGCTGTGTAAGGTGACCAGAAGACAGAACAGTACTCCAGTTGGGACCTTACCAAGGTACAGTATAAGGATCTTAAGGTGGTTACATCATTCAGTCCCCTGCACGTTCTTTTAATGAGGCCAAGAATCTTATTAGCCTTACTTGATATTTTGTCGACATGGGCCTTCCAAGACAGCCTACTCATAGTAACTAAGCCAAGGTCACAAAATTCGATGTCTCCTCCAAGGTGTTATCATTGAGCTGTGAGCTGAAGGTCAGAGAGGAAGGGCATCTTCTTCTTGATGACATGCATCAGTTTACACTTCTTTACATTAAAGTCCATTAAATTTTGTTGACTCCATGAGTACAAGTTATCCAGATCTGATTGAAATACTTGATAGTCAGTGTTGTAGTGTATGCGGTTGGTTCTTGTAAGCATGCGCACATGTGCGAATTATTCATTCCATGTGCTTTTCGAAAATAAAACCAAACACATGACAGTCGGAAGGACAATTTATCACTTTTGATGATTTACAATCATCAGCATATAAGGCAATTGTGTTACAAGCCATAACTGCATCAGGTAAATCAGTAATGAATATCACGAAGAACAGGGGACCTAATAATGAGCCTTGTGGTACACTAGATGGAATAACAGTCCAGGAAAAACTCATTCCCTCTATAACAACTCTTTGCTCTATATCAGTCAAGTAATCCTTACACCAGTTTAGTAGATTAGCAGAGATGCCAAAGTTACACAACTTCTACAGAAGTATATCATGTGACACTCTGTTGAAGGCCTTTGCAAAGTCTAAGAAAACTACATCCACCTGTAGTCCATCATCTAGAGCCTTGGTCCAATGATGGTGTGTTAGTACCAACTGAGTAGCACACGAACGACCTCTTATAAACCCATGCTGCCAATCAGTCAGGTAGGGATCAACGTGAGAGTATATGGCACTACGTACTATTTTTTCTTGCCATTTACTTGGTATAGATAGTGGAGAAATAGATCAATAATTCTCCACTACATCATTGGCATCTGCTTTATATACAGGGGTGACATTAGCCTTTTTACACAGGGAAGGGACCTTCCCACTGCTAAAAGACAGGTTAAATAAAAACGTCAAAGGAGGTGATAGCTCTTGCACACACTCTTTTAGAATCCTAGCAGATATACTGTCCACTCCAGTAGCTTTGTTAGTGTCCAGCCTGCTAAGAATATCTTTGACTTTAATATTGGATGTTGAGACATCCATCACTAGGTCTGGGTTGACCACATCACTATTAAGGACCT